ATTATATATATATATATATATATATTATATATGTATATAAATGTTTAATAGGCTGTGTATCAATGCGCTTCCTTTTAATAAAGGTAACGACGCTTTGTTTCTGAACATTACATTGCATGTTTGTGGTCAAATAAAAATTCTGAAAAACAATTTTCTTAATTTTGATACCAAAAGTCCAGAAATTTATGATCGTTTCACCGTATTAATTAAAAGACACAACTATTTAATAAAACTGACCAGAGAACTAGCCGAAATTATTAGTTTTGTGTTACTGGTAGAATTATTTATTATCAGTATACTTTTATGCATAATGGGTGAATATTATATTACTTATAATTTTTCTATGAAATATATAAGTTATAAAAATCTCTATTAACTAGATACATTTTTTTCAGGACTTCAACTTATTTTAGCATTAAAAGTAAACAACATTATTATGATTGGGAAAAGTTTAACAGTACTGATTACATTTTTGATACAATTAACTTTATATGGTATTATAGGAAATTATTTGAAATCCCAAATGGAAGAAATAGGGCTTGCTGTATATCAAAGCGCTTGGTATAATTTTCCTGCTAAATTGACGAGACATTTAGTTTTCATTATTATGCGTTCTGATTCTCCAGTCACTTTGCAAGCTGGAAATTTTATTGTAGTAAATTTAGCAACTTATATGAGTATTTTAAAAGCATCTCTTTCGTATTTATCTGTGCTTCGTGTATTAGTAGAAACATGAGATGTAACATACATAAATAAAAATAAGTTTCATGAATTAAAGATGTGATTTAAACATAGAATGATTTGGATGTAAAAAATGCTCATTAAAATTTGTGTAATAAAATTGGAACCACTATTCAGAATCGTTTGTGTCAAATTAATTTTATGCATTATATAATTATATATATATATATATATATTTATTATGCATTATATAATTATATATATATATAGATTATTATTATTATATTAAAACATTAAAATTAGAAAAAGTTTCTAAAATATAGAATTACTTACATTTTTATAACGCCTATTCTTTTATTAATCTGTGAACCTTTTCAGTCTATAAAATAAAAAAATAATACATTTATACAAAATGTAGTTTAATTTTAAATACATTAATTTATATTATTAAATTAAAAAAATATATATTGTGTTAAGATAAGATGTAAGACAATCGGAATTCATAGTAAGCGAAATGTATAAAGTTCTGATAATTCAAACAACAAAAAAAGGTGACTGTCCGACGGAAATGGCGATATAGAAAAAATAGTCATGCAAATTCTTATGCAACTACGCAAATTTTGCTTAGCTAGCTAAGTATAATTCTCTACACTTTGTTGTAATATGCTAAGAACATACAGGCAGACTGATAAGCGGTTATCCCAAGCTGAATAAAAAATGATTCGAGATAGGAGCATTATGTCTATATACCGAGTGTTTCCAGTAAATGGCATCAGTTACAGTCATTACCTTGACTCAATGGCAAATGAACAATGGAAAGACGATGTCGCATACGCGATGACCCCTTTTAAAATAATATCGTGGCCCATTGGCGTCTGGCCACTTCAAGTTTATAACGTTTATTCGTTTATACGATGTATTTTAGCCACCTGTTGCGCGGTATGCATCTATGAGTTCAGCCTCGACGATCACTGAGGACACAAACAATTTCTATATTGATGACATGAAAATATCATATGACATGAAAATATGTCAACAGGCTTTAATGATCGTCATGCCTTCCTTTGAGTTCTACTTGGGTTGCACTGACGCGGACACAAACATAGACTGTCTTGAGCTAGTCTGTTGTGGAACACTTGGTATGGTGAAGACAATATGTTTCCGTATTTATGCAAGAAATTTGACTAACAATTATGGTTCTGCCATAAATGATTACTTGACGATTGAGAACACGAAGGAACGTGCCATCATGCGGAAACACGCCTTCATGGGAAGATTCCTCTGTTGTTTAATTTTAGGCTTTGCCTACATTGGAGGTTTGATGTATGTGCTAATCCCTCTTCTGGATGTTAAGGGAATTGAGCAAGTTAACATAACAAATGAAGATATCATGTTAGAGTATCCAATACCATCAAAATGCGCTATGAAATATTTCAATGCTCCAGTGAGTATGTATAGAATCTTCTGCCTCGTCGATGCTATTGCGGTAATGATAGCTACTACTACTAATATTGGTAATATTTACTTGCAATTTGATATCTGTATATATTTTTACTTCATAATATGTTTAAAGCCTGTAGCAATTTTTATTACAATGCATTTATATGTAGATGTTTATTTCATGTATGAGAAATTTTAATTTTTATTATTTTTGTAATCATTAATGCAGATACCTCTATTCTATTGTCTATTGTTGACACAGATAACTTGAAAAGATAAAAATTTTTTTGTATCAAAGAAATATAAAAATAATATAGAAATTATTAATTTTACTTATTCTAATTATACATATATTTTTTATTAAAACATAATAGAGAATATTGTTATAATAAATTAATAATTTTTTACTATTTTGTACGTGCGTGCTATGGTGTGTGTGTGTGTGTGTGTGTGTGTGTGTGTGTGTGTGTGTGTGTGTGTGTGTGTGTGTGTGTGTGTGTGTGTGTGTAAATGTTTAATATAGACAATATAACAATGCGCTTCCTTTTAACAAAGGTAACGATGCTTTATTTCTGAACATTATATTGCACATTTGCGGTCAAATACAAATTCTGAAAGTCAATTTCTTTGATTTTGATGTCGAAAGTCCACAAATGTACGATCGATTCAACGATCTAATTAAAAGACACAATTATTTAATAAAATTGACCAGAGAACTAGCAGAAATGATCAGTTTTGTTTTACTGATAGAATTATTTATTATTGGTCTACTTTTATGTGTAATTGGTGAATATTCCATTGCTTGTAGCTTCCATAAAACGTGTGTGTTGTTAAAAATCTCTATTAATCAGATGAAACTCATTTCCAGGACTTCAATTTATTTTAGCATTAAAAGTAAATAATATTATTATAGTCGCCAAAACTATAATTGTACAAGTAACGTTTCTGATACAATTAACTTTATACGGTCTTACTGGAAATTATTTAAAAATTCAAATGGAAGAAATAGGGATTGCTGTATATCAAAGCGCTTGGTACAAGCTTCCTGCAAAATTGGCGAGACATTTAAACTTCATCATTATGCGTTCATATTCTCCAGTCACCTTACAAGCTGGAAATTTCATCGTGATAAATCTATCAACTTATGTGAGCATCCTAAAAGCATCTCTTTCATATTTGTCTGTTCTCCGAGTATTAGTAGAAGCGTGAGATGTAATGCACATAAATAAAGATAAAAATTCCATAAATTACAAATATATAATTTAAATGAAGAATGTCATAGATGTATAAAAATATGCATCAAGTTTTGTGTAATAAAATTACTATTGGTGACTATTATTCATAGTTGTATGTAAAATTAATTTTTAATTAAAATGTTATTAACAATATTTATATATGTCTTTATGTTCTTCATAAACTTATTATTATTGCATTATATGCAGTATATCGAAATTAGAAAAAAAATTCCTATAACTAATTACTTACATTCTTGTTATGCATACTCTTCTATTAATTTGCGAATTTTGTAGTTTATAAAAGTTTTAAAATAAAAGAAGAAAAATAAATCATTTACGCGTATATCGAATTATTTTAATATAAAATAATTTATTACTTAATGGAAAAAAACATTGAGTTAAAATAAAATGTAATACAATCGAAACTCATATAATAAGCGAAATGTATAAAGTTCTATTCGACAATTCAATAAAAAAAATGATTGTCCAACACAGACGGCGATACAGAAATAGTCATGTAAATTTTTTCACAACTACGTAAATTTCGCTTGAAAATATTCTCTATATTTTGTTATAATACGTTAAGAACGTAGAGATAGACTGATAAGCGGTTGCACGAAGCTGAATAAAAAATGAATCGGAATAGGGACTGTCATGTCTATGCACCAAGTGCATTATCAGCCATTGGCATCAGTTACAGTCATTACCTCGACTCGATGGGGAGTGGACAATGGAATGACGATGTCGCATACGCGATGACTCCTTTTAAATTAATATCGTGGCCTATTGGTGTCTGGCCACTTCAAATTTATAATATTTATTCGCTAATGCGATGTATCTTAGCCACTTGTTGCTCGGTATGCATCTGAGTTCAGCTTCGACGAACTGTGACTGTACAATTGTTCGAAAACAATCATTTCTATGCTGATGTCATTTCACATAAAAATATGTCAATAGGCCTTCACGTTCCTCATGTCTTCCATCGAATTTTTTCTGGGCTGCACTGACACGGAGACAAATATAGACTGTCTTATGATAGTCGGTTGCGCGATACTTGGTATGGTAAAGACAATATGGTTCCGTATTTATGCAAAAAATTTGACTCATAATTATAGTTCTGCTGTGAATGATTACCTAACGATTGAAAACGCAAAAGAACGTACCATCATGCGGAAGTACACTTTTATGGGAAGAGCTCTTTGTTCTTTAATTTTAAGCTTCGCTTATATTAGCACTATGATGTACGCGTTAATTCCTTTTCTGGATTTTGATGAAATTGAGCAAGTTAATATAACGAATGAAGATAAATTAGAATACCCAATACCATCAAAATGTGCTTTAAAATATTTTAATGTTCCAGTGAGTATGTATAGAACCTTCTGTCTCATTGAAACTGTTGCGATAATGGTAGCCTGTACTAATAATATTGGTAATATTTACTTACAATTTATATCTGTAACTGAAATTTTCATTTAATGTATTTAAAGTTCGCGACAATTTTTATTTTAATGTATTTATACGTACATACGTATGTATGTATATTTATACTTTCATGTATGAAAAACTTTGATTATTCTTCTTATCTTTGTCATCATTACTACAAATACTTTTATTGCTTATCTAATACAAATAATAAAAAAATAATAAATAAAATGCAAAAATTTTTTGATTTTTGTATTAAAGAAGTATCAAAATAATATAAAAATTATTAATTTTATTTATTTTAACACATACATTCATACATACATTTTT